TCAGAATCCGATATGCTTATATGGTTTAGATGTGTACTTGTCTTACTAGAGATCTCGAAATGAATGATCTTATGGCATTTTACCGGTTGTTTGTATCAAGGATCAGTATCGGTAAGAAAGAATTTATAATTTCCCTTCACGAAACATTTTGAGTATTGAGCGTTAGTTGATATTATTAGGTGAAATACTTTTGTGACTGTGTCATTGCAATACTTAGTCTTAAATCAATTCCACTTTTGGACGCGTTGAAAATATCCGTTCTGGCAGTCGGTGGTCAGCAACTGGTCAACTGTGATTGCAGCTGTCTATACGTCGTCATTCTTTACGGTAACAAAGAGCTAGCCGCAAACTCACTGTGTTTACTTATCTTTAATCGTGAATCTATCGATGACCATAATGGAATGAATGAATAATCACTGCATCATCATGAATCGAATCGAATCACTCTCAATTAATCGCTATTATACTCTTACATGAACTCAACGAAGCTATTTAATCATTTCTGTCGTGTTTAACTAGTGAAACTTACTTGTTTACAAACACATTTCATAAGCGAACATAAAAAAAGTCTACATTCTCTTTTTTCTTGCTAGAATTGAGCGCACGTATAGGTGCTTATTAAGAACTCATTACGAAACTCTTACTCTCAATTTAAAATTGAACTGAATTGTTGTGCTGTGTTTGGCGCATTGACAATAGCCGTTATTTGGCTCATCACTCGTCTTTAAATTGAATTTATAAAATGACCACTTGCTAACAATATGCATGTCGTACAAACCATATAATGTATAGTCGCTATGTCCGTGAAATTTTATGATTTTTGAGCATCATGACTACGGTTTGCTATAGATAAGTATCATTTGTGGCGATAGAATAGTGACAAAAGTTTCGTTTCACAATACTTTACTCCTAAAGTGCTCCAATTGTAAATTGTTCGGAAAGTTAAGTTCCGGGTCAAATTCAAGTATAGACTCAGTTTTTTTTTTTAAATGTTCTCCTATAATTCAGGATCCAGTTTCGCCCTATAAAGTCTTAACATTTGCACTCTTAGTAATCAAGGTATTCCATTAATGGGATACTGAAAGTGAATGAGGATCGACATGTTGAATTGTTTCCTTTTAAATTGTTCAACTGAAGATTACACGATTAAGAAGAAATATTGCAAAAACATGCCCAGCGTTCGTTCCATTTAAATTAACTATCTGAAAATTGACTGAGGAGAGCAGGTTTATCCGTTTGATTGACCTCAATCCTTCAAAATACGACTGATGATATACACTCGCAAAAATGATTCAATATTCCAAATCGAAAGCTTTCTTTCACCTACTCTGAATGGACATTTTCACTGCGAACTCGTGAGCATCATCCAGTTGTAATCGCCGAATAATCATAATGAGTTGGCATTTACTGTTGCTTGTAGTTGCACTGATCACACCATCAGCTGATCGTGTACTATTTTGCATGTTGCGATCGTTAATAGCTGTTTTGCTCGAGTGCAACCTTCAATCATTGTACAGTTTCGCCCTTGGACTGCTGGATATACTGAATTCGAAGCATAAGAGCAGAACATAATAGAAATGAAAAATGAATGTCTAAATACTTCTTACTGACGTATCGTTGATCTCATACAAAGTACTACGCATCTGATGTGAGCTACAAGAAATTAAAACGTCACCTTTAAAATATTGCGGAAAAATGTATGAAGAAGTTCTTCGTTCACTTCGCATTATGAATGAAACGTTGGTATGTACATCGTAGCAGAAGAAATGACAACGAAAAAAATTAGAGAGATATATGGAGGATAAGGAGAAGACAAAAATCAGATGGGAATGGTGGTATTAGGCGGATGCAAAGAAGGCAAAAATGAGGAGAGAGAGGGTAGTGGAACCATTGGCAGTGAATAAACTGAAAAAAGAAACGATGTCATATGACTTGAAAGAAGTAAGATTGAGAAGAATGACATGGTTGTAACAAGTATATGCTCGCAGGTGACGAAGGATGATATGGTTGTAATATGTGATAAGAATGGCGCTTTATGAGATAAATAAATACATGTCATCTTATGTGCATTTGACAAAAGGTATTGATGTGGGTGTTATAAATTTACGTGTGAATAAGTATTGACAACACGGTTATTAACGTTGTTTGAATGAATCGTGTAAATACGGCTTATGGCTATCATCATCAAAAAATACGAGATGAAAAAGCCGTAAAAATGATTGTGGAGATGGAAAAATGGTGATGAAAATTTAATAAATGACCTATTAAATGACAATAAGCATAATGATGATACACTTGCAAAGTAAAATAACTGAGCGCATGCGTATGTGAACAAATGAGTGTCGACAATCAACGCAAACGCTCAAAAAAACCCTTCAAACAACGTCGTATCGGTTATCGTTGTCCGTTGAGGATGGGTATTATTTGTTTCGTGTACAATATCAATTATACGCTATTTATGGTGCTCTGCGAATGACCGTTCAATTTGACAGACACTAAACTCTGACGCCAATAGTGATGTTCTTTCGCAAGGATTTCGTTGAACAGTTCGATTATTTTGGAGAAAAAAAACAAATTTTTTGTCGAAACGATAAATGATGAATGCGTATTCTTTTTGTGCTGGTGATGGTCACTCCCATCCATTCACATTGCTAGACACACAACGTTGGTATCGCTTTACTTTCACCGAATTTCATTTATTTATTTATTTATTTATTTATTCATTTGTTTGTTGCACACTCTCAATCGTCCACAAACTCAGATGCCATCCATCCCAGTATACCTAAACAAATATAAACAACAAAAGTTTATTCTCGATCTCATTTATTCTCTCAATCGAATCTACTTCCTTGTTCGACCATTCATCCTCATACCTCATTCCACTAACTGCTTCCCTCTCCGTCATCCTTTTTGACTTTACGGTCCCACCGCATTTACCATCGTCGTGTCTTCAGTGATCAGCCAGATTCGTTGAATCAGATTCCTCACAGACTTTGTCTCTTCCGTTATATCACGTTCATCTGGAAGTAGTTATATCATAATTGTATAATTTTCAACATATCCTCCATATCAGTACAGCTGTATTATCTCCTGATAGCTGCTATTTAATCAATTCATTTTTCTGTTCATCTTTTTCAGAAAGATTTCAGTTTTTTTGGCTGACAAGTTTGAATTTCCACTTTGACTCAACCATATTTTCAATCATCGGTTTGAAGTATTCATCGCATGAACGTTGTTATTAAGCTCGAAGTAGTATGAATCGCTGAGCATTTAAAATCTGTTTGATTATTCGTCATTCTGCAGTAACGCTGTCACATGATTATCATTCTGACCATCATTAATTCGAGTTGCGTTGCTGTCATAGATTTGCGCTGAATATAAAACAACGATGAAAGTCGCATGAATGCGTTCAAATGCCATGAGTTTAGTAGAAAAAATAAAATTTTATCATTTTATACGATGCGTATTTTTTCAAGTGAATGAACACTATTCAAGATTTGTTTGAGCCGGAGTTGAATGTTATTGACTTGCTTGATTGAAGGGATTCAATCGCATTGATCATTTTCGGGTCTGGAAAGTTTTCACTGAGTGATGCAGTTGAGTTGAAGCGTAATAATCATTGGCAGCTCGACTTGGTGACTTCTCTTCTCCATTCATTCGCGTCGATCAAATTAAACGGAACAAGGAGTATTCACGAAGCGATCTGTCAGCTCGGTTGCAACTCACTTGGTGTTTGTCTTAAACAAATAAACGATAGCTGCAGCTGGCACGAGAACAGTGCAACACTGATAGCCTAAGGGCAATCAGATCCCTTGTAAGCGTCCATATAACATATCCATATTGGTACAATAAAGTGTTTGCACGAGAGTCTTCTAAACGCAACGATTAGTTGTAAAGTCGTTATTATCACTCTCTATCGATAACCAAATTACGCTTATTCGTCCTCAGTTCAGTTCTGTTTTGAATCAAAGTTAGATTTTATTCAATTGCAATATGTATTAGATCAGGTCTGATCGAATTGAAAATGTGCCGAATTGCGAATAAAATTACGAGCTGGTGGTTTGATTAATGATAATTCGATTGTTCATTGGACGAGCGAAAGAAAGAGAGAGTTGATTTGTTGGTTTATTGGATGATTGTGTTGCAAAAAATTATCAATTAAGTGATGAACGAAGACAAGTCCGAAGTGGAGTGGAGACAGGAAGACAGCTGTTGTTTCTTTTGATGTTCTTGTCTCGTTCGAGGTTCAAAAAAGGAAAACAAATACAACATCGCAACAATTCATGAGAAAATAGAATGCGAAAGAAACGAGTTGATTGATGATATTATATCATTTAATATTGAATGAAAATAAGAAAGGAACGAAAGCGAGATCCATCAATTCATTGCGTGCAAAAGGAAGTGAAAGAAAAGAAGAGCATCAGTATCAAAATCGAGAAGATGTAATCAGCCGTCACATAGAGTCTAAGAGCATAAGAACATCAGATATCTCATCATTATCACTACATTCGCAATTATCATCGTCACTTTCGCTTAGAAGGAAATAAGGAAAATTGATGAATGAAACAACAACTCGTTTGGTGTTGAAGTGGATTGAAGAAGATTGCAACAAAGTTGAACTGAACGAATGGACATTGTCCACTGCACCTGTCTCTCTTAACTAACTTTTTGTACGTCTTTCTTCAGGTTTTGTGAGCAATCATTGACGATTAAACAAGATTCAACTCACCCATCCATCTCGGAGAGCATCAATCTTTTTGCATTCAGCATCATCACTTTTAGGTGGTATCTTTATACGTAAAAACTTGATTCGATTGTGTTTCAGAAACATTCGTTTTCCATTCATAGAATCAAACTGAAAGAACATAGAAACTTTCATAGATTTAACATCGCTGCTGCTAGAGCATCAAACTATCCCTGATCCTGTCCATCTGAACCATCCTCTTTCGTTTAGATGAATGTTTGGTTGATCTGTTCCAAATTTTCGTGGTGAAAACGTCTTAAATTTCAATGATAAAATTTATTATTCTATTCAATTTTTAATAAAATCCCAGTGACCATTGTTCATCTTCGTTCTTGTTGTGTTTGTGATTGTGTTTGCTGATTTTTATTACTTCAAGACTTGCCGAACCTCGACCGCACACTGTCGACGAATATCATATCAGTCACGGATATGTTATCATAGCAGCCAAACTTTATCAACTTCATCATTGCTGTCAGTATCATTCGAGGTGCTTTGCAATAAATTTTCACTATTCATCTCAACTGCTATTCCTGATATCTGTAGGTGTGCAGACCTGCTCACCATTCATCACCTGCGAACAGTGTTATTCAATTGATTCAATCTCCTCTGAACTCAGAATCAGTCTCGCAATTCAATGTGAATGGCCACATCACTTCTGATTCGTACCCATCAGACTACGAGTGCTATCGAAGGGGGTGTCTTCAATGAACGCACCTCGGCACATCATTCTCCACCTCTCGCTGCGACCGCTGAATCTACTTCGGTTATCAACACGATTATGACCACATCATCAACCTCGAGCACAACTCATCCCATATCATCCTCATCCACCGAATCGGCAACTCCTGCCGATTCGACTTCTGCAGATTCACTTGTAACTGAAACGTCGTTGAAAACGACGAGTGTGGTGGGCATGAGTGATACGGCAGCAGCATCGATAGAACGACGTAAGAAGAAACCTTATAAGGAGCTAACTTTAGAGGAGAAGGTTCAGTTGATTCGACTGGCTGAACAGAATGCCGGTCTGAGTCAGGCGAGTATTGCGGAGAGATATGCGATTGCGAAGAGTAATGTATGTCGAATATTACAAAGGAAGCATGAATATTTGCGAGCTTTTGAGTCTGCCGGATTCGCAGGATCGCGTAAAAGAAAGTTGCGTGGTGATCCTGATCAAAATAGCAGTAATGCTAGCAATGACAATAATAATAGCAATAATACCATCAATCACAATGCCCTTGCTAATAATAATAGAAATAATAATAAAAATAATAATAATAGTAATAATGATAGTAATAATACCAGTAACAATGATACTAATAATGGCAATCATCACACCACGATTACTCATCAGAATCAAACAACTACGGCAAAACAATCACTTCAAGTGGGGCCTTTATCGAATTCCCTTAATCATCAGTATGATGCCAAGCAAAACCAACCACAACGATTATTGACGATACTTCCAGCACCTAAGCCCAGATACGCTTTACCGACGGCAGCTGATCAAATGTCTAAGGATGATGTTTACAGCAACTTGAGATATTCGAAGTATCATGATGAGAATGGCAATTTGCGGACTCCGGTTGAGAATCATTTCGGTTAGCTGAAATTGTATTTTTCAAGCGCTTGAACGTGCAAACTTAATTGCCTTAAAGCGCAGTTGAAATTTTGATCAACAATTTCGATCCGATATCTATTCAATGCCTTGCAAATAATAATAGTACTCCACCAGTATACACTTGTTACCATTCACTNGTTGAGAATCATTTCGGTTAGCTGAAATTGTATTTTTCAAGCGCTTGAACGTGCAAACTTAAGTGCCTTAAAGCGCAGTTGAAATTTGATCAACAATTTCGATCCGATGTCTATTCAATGTCTTGCAAATAATAATAGTACTCCACCAGTATACACTTGTTACCATTCACTCGGAATGACCGAATGAGTTTAGTGAAAGAAGTATCGGTCGTTGAATTGAAATTTTCATTTTCATGGTGAGGCATCCAACCGAAAATTCTGGTTGAGATTGCGGATTCTATCTGAATATTCCGATAGAATCCACAATCTCAACCAGAATTTTCCTTTCGTTTTTTCACTCTGCTGCTTATTTTTGTTTGCTAAGTGGACTCTACGTAATTTCAAGATTTCACCTACTAACTACCAACTGTTTCGCAATTGTGCCTTCAATTCAGTTCGTATTGCACATTGTTTATTTATGCCAGAGTTTTTCAACCGGGGATGCTGACGTCCCCAAGAAATGCGAGACGGTGTTTCAGGGGGTGCGAGATAGGGTTTATACATTAAAGTGGGTAAGGACGGAGTTCAACGTATATTTTTTCGAAAAGGCAAGACGTACTCCATTGGTATACACTTATCCACACTACAGGCACTCAGTGTAGTGGATGAGAGATACAGAACGGATGTTGTGAGGGTTGTGAGGCCATTTTTACTATTTTTGTAGGGGGTGCGAGGATATCTCGAAATTTCCCTGAGGGTGCGGAGGGAAAAAAGTTGAAAAGCACTGATTCATGCTAAAATACCATCGTAAATTTATCTTCATCTTGAGTTGAATGATTGAAAGGGATTATTTACACGTATATCTCATTTACGTGGTCATTTCATTCAAAATTCTCTCTTAACTTTCTAAGTATCATCACTGTCCACGTTATCCTCATGATCTTTTTATGCTGTTGAGTCCGTTGTTTTTCCGTATGTCGATAGAGAAATGTTTTTTTTTTTTGGTTCAGTGAAGATGGTTAATTAGTGTTCGCAAAAATTTTCAAATGATTCGTTGTTCTATTTGATTGTATTTGATTCTTGATTTCGTTTCAGAATTCATATTCTAAACAATTATGAACAACGCATTTTTCGAATTCATTGTGCATCTTAATCTCATAAAACACAATAAACGGACTTTTATTTGTTGTCATCGTTGCTGTTTCACTTTCCCTAATGCAAGTGAAGTCATTTTGCAAAAAAAAATCATTAAATGAAAACAATAAACAACATCCTTAAAGATGACAACTGATCGAAGAAACAAAGAGCAACACGAATTCTCACTTCATTTCTCTCTTTTTCTCTCGTTTATTTTTCATTTCACTGCACGATATCACCAATTTTCTGTTATTCATGCTTCTGATTCGATTCGTTGTCTTCTGTTGTTCTGAATTTCTTATTTCATTTGAATGCAGCGATGTTTATTTCTGTCCGAAATGCATTCGCCATCATTCCCCCATCACTTCGCAATTCTGAAAGAGTTCTTTCTGAAACAGATGATTGAAACTCTTGCTGTTTCGACATTATCCAATCAGCCTCTCAACAAAGCCTTTGTTCCTTCGCTTTCTTCTATCGCATCTTCTTTTGACCGCTAACAATTAATCAGCAATCTAGACAAGCCTTGATGGAACATGAATAATTTGCTCATAAAGCTCCACCAAATCAATCACTAAATCGATTGCACTAATTTACGGAAATATCAGGTTTTTGAACATCGTCAGTGCAAGTAAGTGTAAAGCATTTATGCTCAGTAACGTTCACTTATGATAGCACTCGCTCGACTACTTAGGGAATGTGATCAGTATTTTTAGTACTGCTTTGGCAGTGGTTGTCTTTACTGAGTGACGACACGCACCTGTCACCTGTCTCGTGTTAACTAATTATGAGTTCAAAACTGAGCAAAGAAGTAAAATACGTTAAGTGCTGATGATTTAATCTATTTTTCGTATGCATGCACCATTGTTAACCTCATTTTGTTGTTTTCATGCATGCTGTAAAACACTTTCTTCATCCAATTTCCACCATTCTGAAGAATTGAGATTCATATTGACTGGGAATCTCTTATAAGATCCTATTAATATACCATTCAAAAATATCTGACATATTATGTTTTGAGCACAGTTTGAAATGATTTTAATTAGGTGTATTGGGTGACTGGGTGGATTTTGATTAACGAAAGAAGTGATTCTATATGATTCAGAATGGCTGTTCCTTGGAATTCTCAATAGTGAATGATAACATGGAAATTCATTTGCAGGCAATGAAACACTCCGAGCGCACATGTATAAGCAGCACCAGATCTCGAGAATGTTTATGTGTCGGTGCTGTAATTGGGCATTCCCTGACAAAACAAGTCTNTGGCTAGAAAAATTAATCCTCGAAAATACTCGATGTTTCGATGATCAGTCTTAGAAAGTTTATCCGCCTAGACATTTTCAAATTTATGTTCTAACTGAAAAGATGAAGTGAACATTACGAAAAGACACTGACGATTGGTTGCTGACTTAGTTTACGAGAGACATCTTTGAGCCAAGTATGGGTAAAGCAGCAGTTTACTTGATTTTTTGCGTGTAATTAAAGGCAAAGGAAGAAGGAAAGACGATCTCAGTGCCTGTAATTGGCAAGGGCAATCCACCAACACCTCAGCAGCATAATCAGTCAAGCAGTCATCATGCTTCTTCCAACCAGGTTGTAACTCAGCAGTTGCATAATCCCCACGCTGCAGCACGTCCTCTCGCTTCTACGCCTTCCAATAGCTTCTTCAACCCTCTACAAATTCATCCACTCCCCGCACATCAACCTTTAAGTATCGCTGATCCGAATGGTTTGTTTACATCACATTATCAATACTCGTTCGCTTCTGCGGTATTATTCTAAAGAGTTGTTCCCATGAACATCTATCTCATTGGTCAGTAACACATTATGCAGTCTCTCATCGCTATTGATTGTGAACACGAATCAAACCAACGCAAATGACGAATACTCTTGTCCATCTTGCAACACCATCACAAAAAGCGTTGAATATTCGATTGGTTGCAATCAATGAGTCATTTTGTTCTGGAAAAGCATGAGACAATCATTAAAAGTATGAACAAAAGAATGAATGCAAAATGGATCATGCGTTTAATCGTTGAATATTTAGCATTACAAACCGCTGCAGCTACACTTTTCCCTCAGATGGCACTTCTTCGAGGTACAACATCAACACCAACAGCAACGTCGAATTCAGCTGCAACTACAGCTGGAGCACAGACTGATGAATTGATGATGAAATTGAGGGAGCGATTAATGCTCAACAATCTGATGGCGCAATCCGGATTTGGATTGGCTGCTTGGCTGGCAGCTCTACCAAAAGTTGACCAATCAGGTGAGGTTTGACTCTGCGGTCAGAAATAAGCATTCAGAATTTATTCTGTGCTATTGACGTGCTCTATTTAATGATCTGAACCTTTGGAGTATTCAATGTTGAAATGTATTACTGTTTTGTAGAAGACTGAACAAATTACGGAAAATAGCTGAATTCAGGTATTGGAAATTTGAATACGACGAATGGTGATATAATGAATGGAAAAGAGATGAATAATGTTGAAATGGGTGAAGAAGATGACGAGATCAATGTGGATAAGGAAATCGAAGAGCAAGAGATGCGTTTGGATAGAGAACGTCAAAATGATGACGATATCCAGGTCAGTTCAGTTGCATCTTTGGGCATTTTTTAACGTTTATCTTCATGCATTTTTCTGTGCTCTTGTTAATTGCCATGAATTCATTGTGCTGATCAGCGTTTGACTTCAATAGCTCATCCATCATTGCACTTCGCATCATTACTTTCATTTCAAAACTCTCCTTGATTTTATTCGAATGCAAATTTATGCAGGTCTAGGTGTTAGTCAGGGCACAAGGTTTTCTCAGATCTGTTCGGCAGTTTTCTCATCCACTGCAACATAATTGTTTTTTGAATGATGCAAGCTTTGGATAAACCAAGTGTAGACTTTTCTAATCGTGAATGAAGAAGTTCGGCGAAAAAATAGGAATTCTTTAAGGAAATTCTCTCTGATCGCCTGCAAATATCTAGTTAATGTTCTCGTTTCAGACGGATGATTCAGGTGATGGCATAAATAAAAGAAGCGACAAAGAATCGCACTCACAAATGAACGACGCGAATGACAGTGAAGAGAACAAGAACAGTGAAAATGCCCAAAGACCAAGGTGTGATCTTTATTTATGTTCTTTCTGTCTGTAGGAATTTAATGTGAAGCAGTTTTATAAGATGAATATTTTGAACATTGAGAAGTGCTATTTTCACTGCGAGATTAACGTCATAATTTGTACCCAAAAACCAGTGCTCTGTTAAGCGATCTGTCGCATGGTGCTAATTGTAAGTTCGATACTATTTACCCATTAAGTCATCCTCTGCATAGTGTAACGAGTATAGTAATTTTATATTAGGTGCTCAGTGATGGTAATATTCAGGTCTATGAAGAAGAGCACATCGGATGATTCCTCATCACCTTCAAATGGGATATCTTCATCGATTTCGAACACAATGCCCAATTTGCGATCAGCCATAGCCACGTCACCGTTGAACAGTCTCATTTACAAGAAACGATTATTGCATTCTCCATCTACTCTTAGCGATACACTTTTGGTAATGCTTACACTTCACCTCATTCTAATCACCAAGTATTCTCTACGCTATTATTTCATATGTGACGTCAGTATTATCACTGTGAATAAAACAAATTTTTCTGTTCAGAATATAGCTGCTACTCAAGCAACTCTTCCTGCATCGGACCAGTCATCAGATGGACAAGATAGTCATGTATCACCAACCGAAACGCACAGTAGTCTTTCACCAGCGACAGAGTCTGGTCGAGAATGCTTCGAGTGCTCAGTTTATAAGGGTAAATTGGCCGTTGCTGAGAACAGGTGTCGCTATCTAGAGGGACGAACGGCCACGTTGCAGGTGCGTATTGTTGACTGTATTTCTTTTTCATCATTCATCTTTCGATTCTTGCACTTTATTTATTATTATTTTCAACGATGCGAGGTGCTGTTATTCATGCATTTTCTTGACAAGAATCTTTATCAAGAAGAATGTCAGAGGAATAAATCAATCAGCGAATCTCATTCATCGTTTCTTTTCAGTCCGATGCTCTTCGCTTCAGTACGCGTGTGTCTGCGTCAGAATCATCAGCACGTCAATTCGAACAAGAAGGTCGTTTGCTGCGAGAGCAAAATGAACTGTTGCAACGAAAGCTTTTGGAGTGCCAAGAAAAAACATTGGCTTTCATGCAAGGTGATCAAGTGGCAAACCCGCAAGCAGTTGCATTCTACTTGAACGAAATCCTTAAAGCCACACTTTTATGCTGAAACTTCATTTCATTTTGCTTTCGTGTTTAATTTAAATCTCAATTGAACACCTGATTGCCAGTTTTGTGTTCATTTGATTGTGTCAGTTTCATTCGAAAATATCTTTCATGAATACGATCGATGATTGTCAAGATCGTGCAGTGTAGCGTTATTAATTGTCGCATCGGATCATCATTAATATCTCCCAAATTCGTTGTTCTTTTCTGCAGTCGTCTGTTGTTTTTACAGTCCCATAAGCACATCATACTTATGTCGTTCATAGGTAAAGAAGCTCTTAGAACTTTCATTGCTGCAAACCTCATTTTTATGAATCAGCGAGATTATAGTGTAAAGTATCACTCAAAATTTCATCTTCAATTCGTTCTGGAGATATAGTTTTTCCCTAAAGGACAACTTGAGCCATTTATCTTTCTCATCGCATACGTACCTATAGGTTTTCATATCTTTAGTAGTTTCTGATACAGTAGAGATGTGCTAACGGGACGTTTTAGTTGAAGGCTCTGTGATAATTCTGTGTAATAATTTTTCTGATTCTGCGATATATTTCGTGTTTCTGTTGGAACACATTTTCTTATTTATTGTTGTCTTGAGGTTTCATCAGTTTATTGAATTAATTTATTCCTTCTTCAATCAACTACATTAGCGGAGTTACTGCTGCGGTTGTTGCTTGCCGTGTTCCAGAGGAGTGATAAGGTTGCGATGTAAGGATGATTATGCTATTTATTGTTTGTCTTTCATATGAATGTCGCTGTGATTTGCGGATATTTGTTTCTGAGACTGTTTTTTTTNTTTTTTTTATTCATTCAGTCAAAGTGTGCAATACTTGATAATCTTGTCGTTGTTTCTTTTAATCAATATTCAATGCAGTTCAATGCCTTAATTGATACGATTCACTGCAATCCATTGCCTTATTCAACATCGTTGTGCATTATCGTTTTGATTGTTACTTTTATCATTGTTACTTTTTATTATTATTATTGTCATTGAACACTTCAGTCTGCAATTCTCCTCTCAACTGTCTTTCAAAATGCATTTTTGGATAATTTTTGCTGTTCAACATTCATCTTATTATAGATTTATTCATGTTTCTTTGCAAATATTTATCATGAAGATATGATTCGTTCCATATGAAACTTGGTACATGTTTGAATGCATATAGTTCACGTTTCTGCCGTGTGTCCGCTCGGAACATCAACGGTCTCATCAATTTTTGCAAGAAGTTTTGGGATTGAAAACAAAAACAACTTCAGCTTTTCGTTGGCTACATCACTCTTTTCTCATTTTAGATGAATCTTTTAAACCTTTCTTTGACAGCAGTGCAATTATTTTTTTGATCATCACCATTTTATTCAACATCCTGCTGCAGTTCTTCGTCGGATTTAATAAGAGCTCGGCAAAGAGTGGATTCAGTGTTTGAAACTGATCTCTTCCTGAATGTCAACAGAGATCTGCCCGTTGCCAGCGAAACTGTTCATCGCGCATAATCCAACGTCTCTGAACTAAACTGTCGCTTTGTGCAAAATGATTTTCTTAACATTCATTTGTTTCAGTGTAAAACTGTACATTGCAACTTGTTGTGTTACTGTGGAACCGTATCACTGGTGATATTTTATTTGAACTTTCATATGCAATATTTTCGACTCGTGTCTTTCATTTTTTCTTTGTATTCTGATATTTTTATATCCTAAAATATGACCATTTTCTCTGTTGTTATTTCCTGTAAAATTTTTTATCAAAATTTCAACTTTTGCAAAACGTTGAAAGTGAAATCCACATGTACTTCTGACTACCACTCCATTTGGAATCCGGAATCCATACGGCAAGATTTGACATTGATACGACAAAAGTATTGGAAATTAACTGAAATAACTTTGCTTTGAAAGCGACTTCCGAATAGACTTTCAATGCTACGAACATTCCGCAAAATAATCAAGCGTACAGACGAGACCAGTTAGTTCTTTAGAAGGAGTGCTCTTTGTATGTAACGGGGATTTTCGAAGCCAGATTTCACATATTTGTCATATATTCGAACAGACTGTGAGTCATTGCACAATCACCATCAAGTAACGAAATCGTTGTTTGATTAGCCAGTTAATAAAGTGTAGTAAATAAGAACTAACTGAAAATCAAGCAAATAAAATAGAACATATGATACAGAATAGAAATGGAAATTCAGTGGTCATTATCGAAAACTTTGCCGAAATTCAGCGATACCATGATTATTGTTAACAGAGACCATAGCAGCATTAAGTATGGCCAGAAGAAATGTTTGAATGGACTTTGCGCTTCACTGGGCACTTCCACACCGAGTTCTCTTAGACTGTACCTGAAATGAAAGTGTGAAATGAGCGTGACGGTAAAAAGAAGCAGTTGGAAGGAGAAAATTTGAGTTAGTTCTTTGATTTAATCATCCAATCAGACGTTTCATTTATTTTTGAATCTACGATAGTATTTACCGTGAACTCTGCCCAAATCACCTCAATTTCCAAAAGGAGTTTCATATCTAAAAGTAAAATATATTTTTCTGAGTCTACTTCAGCTCAACATTCCTGTAATGAGCTCTAACAGATGCGTTGAGTTATGAGAGCAACTCTTTGTTATTCGAAAATATGCAACTGATGATTGCCTTTGGTCATGAGAGAGATAGCAAAAACGCTGATGAGACTTGCCTTCTTCCAAATATCGCAATCAGTGATGGAATGACGTTCTGTACCATCACACCTGGGTAACTACCAGTGATTTCAGCCAAAATCAATACGTCGTCGGTGAGCAGTGCGATCAAAGTGCATAGTCCAATCAACAGACACATAACAATATATCGACGTACCAAACGCGGTTTTGCCTGTGGTACTTCAGCAAGTGTTACCTTACGTACAATATCTTCCTGTTCGAGTGTCTTTCGTCGTACTCTTTCCTCGTGAGTCTCTTCATACGGGAGCTCTTCGCTTGAAACACTACTTTTTTCGGCATCGATTTCTGAAGTCGTCGTCCCTTCAGTTGTATCCTCTATGACATCTTCCTCTATCTCCTTCTCTTCCTCCTCTTCAATCCTTAAATACACTTGCTTCATTTCAGCTTACGTTGGCCAAATTCACTTCTCAATCTCCTTATTCAAACTGCTTAGTCCAGCTGAGAATGCAGCCAAATCGCTCGACTTTCCTTACTTATCCAGCAATATATAGTAACCATTCTGAAGATGGTTTAGAAGGCCCAAAACAGTCGCGATTATCAAAAGTCAAGTATGGGCATTAGGACTACGTTCAGCCTTATCAAACGATACACGTTCGTCAACCAACATCCCACATCGCGAACTTTTTGTGAGCCTTTATTGGCATGCACAATCAACAGTTCAAGTTTTCCCATCTGCCGACTCTTTCGCCATATTCGTCCAATTGTGTATCACTTTCTTTCATAGTGGGCAAAATCGCCCACATTAAGAACCCAAAAGTTGGAACATAATCTTGAAGCCACAAACAATGATATTATGCTATGAAGTTGCTCTGAGTAAGAACTTACGTCTCCATTTTCTTTGGTGTTGGCTTGGTGACGTCCGCTACTTTGTTGTTGCTGGCGAAAAACGTGATGTTACGCTCAGCGAGTCTGAAATCCATAATTTATCATAAAGCCACTTCACTCTCATAAAAACGACATCGCTGCTTCTGGTTTGTGCTAGAGTGGGCACAGTATCTGATTTTCTGGTTCCCTTTCTCGTGGGAATCAATGATAAAAGTGCAACGTTACTTTGTCGTCGTCTACGTGAAGAAGAGATCTTCTTGTGAACCAGCATGGACGAACGTTTTCAGTGCTTCTCAGCTCGTAAGCTTAGAAGACGACTTTAAAATTTCCTACTTTCCATTTTTAGTTTTTGACATTTTTTGTTGTGATGGTCATGAGTGCTTCTAAAAGAACTGTGTTCGAGAAGTTTCAGTAATGAATGCTTCCGTAAACTGCATTCCCAAAGCAGAAAATTGGTATCGCACAGAATGAGATTTTATTTAGAAGATGCGGATGATGGATGACGCTATCCGTACACTGAACAAAATCATCGAGAAACAGCTCGTCAAAAAATCTTGAAAGAGCGATTGCATTCTGTAACGAAATATGAAGCAATGAAAATTGGAAAAGTTAAATCAGTGAAATCTTTTTTGCTTTTAAGTTTCAATTTCTTCTGCTTCAACGTAGCATCATACGTTCATAAATGTGCTCAAATTTTTCAAGTGATTTTTTTTGGGTGAAGTAACAAATCTTTTTCTACTGCTATGCTGATGCTGAACATTTTATCGGTTCGAGCCGAAAAAAAATCATTTTCGTGTTGCGCGCATCTTCATTATCACATTCTTTTTATTGTCGTACTGATACTTTGAAAGCGATCACGTCAGTTGTGAGTATGAACAATCATTCACTTGCAAACATCTACTCATGTTCTTGCAATGTAATCAGCACGAGAGCATTCATAAGTGCAAATTTTCGATATATTTCTGCTTCGAAAATGCGCCACAGCAACACCGTATAAGGTTTTTGTTCATAAATTTAAAAATGTAGAAATAAATAAAATAAAACGTACA